CTAATCAGGGTTGTCTAATTGTTTTTTCATTTTGGGAAATCCTGATGAGATCCTGATTTTTGGCTGCAAGATTCTGATCATAATTTTCCAAATCCTGATAAAATCCTGATTTTTTGCGAAAAAAAATCAAAATTTCTGCATGAGCATGCGAGAGCATAAAAAAATCCGATCGGACAGGCGACTTTTCTCAAATCCTGATTTCACGACCGATTTTTCCTCAGATCCTGATAAAATCGGGAATAAATCCTCATTGACCTCAAATCCTGATAGAATTGGGAAAATAGGGAAAATCCTGATGCTAGACACCCTGCTAATTCTGGATAACAACCTCGCATTATTCGAGGAAAACCTGATAACCTGCAACTCCTGCTAGGAAACCTGAAAACGTCTCTGGCTAACTTTTTGGAGGAGCGAAATAGTTAGGAAAACTGTTTTTTTGGTTTCTTTGGAAAACTAGTCAACGTAATACATTGAAAACCTCCTTAATTTTACTTCCCTGGGAGCAGAATATTCTTCATTATTTACAAGCCATGGAAATGGCTTGTTCCTCGGTAAAAAAAAATATTCGGAGCGGCAATTTTGAAACATCACAATGGAGATACGTGGGTTACGCACTTAGGCCATCGATTTTTGAGGAAAGTTATTGTACTTCTCCTTGTAATTTTCAGGTACTTTACTCGGGATACTTTACAGGGATGCTTTATGTCGGGCAAATAGTGCAAATATCAATGACTACAGGGTTGCCACAGAATTTAGGAAGTAGAATGTCCTGACATTTCCCTAATTTACCTGACGCATTTTGCGAAATTCCCTGACAGTTGAAAATGTGACGGATGGTCGAGAGGGCATGATTGAAAATAGTTTTAGGCAAAATTTGTTGTTCGAAACCACAAAGCCATTCTAGAAAGCAAATAAAGGTGATTTAACAAATGTTCCCTGCCACTTTCGTCATTTTCCCGGTTTTCCCTGACTGTGACAACCCTGTCCATGTTCTCTTTGTAAAGCTGGTCGACTTGATGTCTTGAAAACCTCTTTCATTTTTTTTTCTCTCTATCAGCAGTATGTTCCGTAGAAATTTCAAGCTACTAAGTTGACTTGTTCCTTTTCGAAAAAATAAAATAGGATCAGAGATTTTGAAGCACTGTAATGAATACACGCGGTTTTCCACTTTGGGATCACTGCCGTAAGGAGGAACGCCATATGAACATTGGAGGGTTGCCGAATTTCTCCATATAAAACAAGTATTTTATAGGAAAGTTATTCATATTTCATCTTGAAATTTTCAGATGTTTTAGATCAAATTGCGAACGAAATTTTCTGAACATTTTGTGAAAAAATGTTGGCAATGTTCTAAGCAAATTCGATTTCATTGAAGTAAATCTTGCAACGTCTAAAGGCTCATACGGCGTTTTTCCTTAGCGTGGCAGATCACTGATCGATGAAACCGAGGTGGATGAAACCATGAAATGCACCCGTGGCGAAGCGTACTTTGCGATACATCGATTGATCGGCCATTTTTCAACCTATGGAAAAGAATCGATATACAGGGTGTTTGCAGCGAACACCTATACAATCGATTCTTTACCATATAGCTTTAAATGGAGGAATATGAAAGTCGATAATCGATCATTTACGCCTCGCCACTGGAATGCACAACCGCGCGCGGCGAATAACATCATACGCGGTGTTTTTTAATGAGCGATATCTTTGTTAATATTGGACGCGAAAACTGGGCATTAGGACTAATCTTTTATTATTTTCCTAAAATAAAAGCTTAAACCATGAAAACACGATTCTTTGACCGGCGCAACTGACCCATTTCCTGTTTTACTGATCTGTAGGCTACCATGCTAAGGAAAAACGCCGTATGAGCCTTCCGACGTTGCCAAGTTTCCTCCGATAAAAACCGGATTTACTGGGAAAATTCTGAAAATTATTTTCCGAAACTTTCAGACAATTTTGTACGCGATTTAATCTAAACTATCTGAAAATTTCGAGGAAAAATATGCATGAATGTTGTCAAAAATACATGTTTTATCGATGGAAATTTGGCAACTCTCGAATGTTCATACGGCGTTCTTCCTTAGCACGGCAGTAGACACCCTGAAAAAATAGTAGAACACGCACGAGAAGCATGAACCCTCCGTATTTTGGCGGTTGGAATGGAGCCAATATCGACGGGGAAACTTAGACGTTCCGTCAGGACTTTAGAAAAAAAGAAGAAAAACAGAAAACACTGGCGGAGGGGGCGAGGGGTGTTGTTGGTATTAGGCTTCTCGAGTGGTCTGGCACTTGAATTGATGGACGTCAAAACCGAACAAGTCCATTATCCGATGAACCCTGGAGTACAGGGTGTCTAAAGGTGTGTACTATCCCCCACGGTATGATTTATTTTAAAGATTGTTTTAAAAGTTTTTAAATTTTCGTAAATTTTTAAATTTTACATTCTCAACAACTTCTGTAGTGATTTAAATTCCTGGAACATTTTCTCATGATTTATTTCCTCTTTCGAATTGCCCCCCTCCCCCCTGCACTCACCCCCGCCAAAGTGTTCCTGATCAAGACCAGGCCCACCCCAAATTTGTGGGAAAATTATCGTTTCATGGACCAAGAGACCAAAATTCTTCAAGAGTGGCAGCCCATGCGCAAAAATGGCAGCAAATGTCTACATCTTCAGTTAAAGGAGGATTTCAGGGGCTCTTGAATATTGCAGAGTAAAAAACCTAGGTTTTCCTTCGCTAGAACCCGCTAACATCCCCCTTCAAATCAATATTTAGAGAAAAGGAATTGTTCTCCTTGACTATCCATTTGTCCATCGATTTCCATACTCAGCAACGAGGAGCAAAGTCTTATTTCGACCCCATAAAACACGATCTTATATTTAGAGGGTGCATTCACTGGCGATTCTTGCAAGCAACGCTGTTTTTTCTCCATTTAAATGTATGTTAAATAATCGATTCCAGGTGAGGCACCGTGCCTCACTTAGATTCGATAAATTCAATGGATTTAAATGGAGTGCAACAGTGTACTTGTATTAGTGATCTATAAATCTCAGGCCTTCTGGTTACTGACTGAAAGTTTCATTTATTTTTCGCCAGAGTGCATACAAAAATCGACCGAATTTTAGACACTAATCGCACGACCATATTCTTGTGGACAATTGAGTGACTAGAGTCGATTCTAGAACCTTGAAATTCAGTTGCTGATTATGGGAATCTTTAGACAAAGAGAAGGAGGTGGATATGAGGGATCCTGTGGGTAAAAGTGAGTGGTTGCAATGGACGAAGGAAGTAGGTAACAGAACTAACGGCAGCCCATACGAAAGATCCTATAGTTAGTCCACCATTTAACCTCGCTAGCCTACACCAACCCCCCAATTCAACCAATACGATCGCTCTATTTCCCCGTTGTATTCCTTATCAATTTCAATGATCGACCCGCGGTAGGGAAACAACGACTTGTCCGAAACGGACGCCTTAGTGATATATATTCTCGTATTCGGGAAACATTCAACGGACCAGGAGCGCCATTAGAAAATCTAGAAGGGATGTTCCTTGCCGAAGGGATTCTCCTCCTATTTCTTGTCCCTTCAAGCCCACAGCGAGAGGATATAGGGCAGTTGAAAAGAGGGTTAAAAAAATACAAGAATGTGTCAAAGAGGAAATTTCTATCCTGGCATGAGGCCCGCGCTGGTGTCGGGAAGCCTTGCGGGGGTGAAATCGGACAGAAAAACCCCGGAATTTCAAGGGTTCTTAAATACTACTGTTTGTGTTTGGGATAAATTTCACCGAACAAACGTCGGACGCCTTTAGAAACGGGTGGTATTTTACAGAGATCGACCCTTCTCTTTCCTTTTTTACTCGAGCGAAAGAATATGGGGCAGTTAAAAAAAGACATTAACCAAACTACGTTTAACGGTTAACAGGCGGTTTCCTAAAGGATAGAGCCAACGCGAGTGTGTGCAAGTCTTCAAAAGGTGGAATTGGATCTAAGAGAGCGAGTGTTTGGGACTTCCTATTACCCCTATTCGTGTTTGTGATAAAGTTAACGTAGCGAACGTTAGGCGCCATTTACGATTCGGACAGGGTTGTTAACCGCGGTTCTGTTATCAAGCAGAGCGATCCTTAGAATATAGGGCAGTTGAAAAAGATCACTGGAAAAATAGTTACGGGGATGATTTCCTTCATAAGAGTCCGCACGGGGGTATGAGAAAGTTTGCAGGGTGAAATCGAACCCAAAGAAGCTGAGATACTAATTGGTGGCCTCGAGATTTTGATTTTCATAGACCAGGCGGTTGACGTCGTTCAAAACAAGGGTGGTTTCTTTAAGATATGAGTCAGCAGGGTATGATTTAAGATTTTTGGGCCCATGGGCCAGTGTGCTATGCGGACCCCCCTTCAGTGCACCTCTTCGGGGGAGGGATTTAATTGTGAGTTTTCCTTGGGGATCTGATAAGCCTTCCTGGATAAACTTTGAAATTTGAACCCATCGTGGCCGCAATTTTGAGACACATTGTGAGAGAAGATAGGGAAACAATCATACCTTGGACTTCACTATTAGCCTATGAGATACAGGGAAAATGCTACGGCCGAAAACTGATTGTAAAGTTTAGATGGGGGGGGGAGGGAAAAATTTCTTGGTACGGGCCCCTGTCGTGCCTCCATGGTGAACCCGGCCCTGTCAGTCAGCATGATCCTTAAAAATGAAAGAATGTAGGGCAGTGGGAAAAGGCACTGAAAAGGAGCGTTACAAGGCCCAGTGAATGTATTCGGGAGGGTGATTTAGATGTAGGTTTAGATTAGGATTTAGGTTTAGGATTTAGATTTTTAAGGAGCAAAGGCGTCGTTGAAAACAAATGAAGGGAGGTTTCCCTCGGATATCAGTCAGCATGATCCTTGGAATTGAAAGAATATAGGGCAGTGGGAAAAGACAATATAAAGGAGCGTTAGTGGGCCCAGTGAATGCTTCCTGGGGGCGGGCGGGAATCTGAGAGTGGTCACCTGGGGTTCCGAATCTGCTCGTCGGCGGGGGCCCCATGCCCATGGGCATACCCGGCGGTTGGGGTCGGAGGGGCCGCTGCTGCTGGAAGGACCCGAAGCTGGCGCCGCTGGACATCCGCTGGGGGGCGGGCATGAGCGGGGCCCCGTAGCGGAACTGAGCGGGCGGCCCCGGAGCATGGCCAGGGCCGTGGTCCCCGAAAGGGGCCCCGAAGGGCGGGCCGGGGCGCACGGGCGCTGGCGGGCCCTGGTGCGGCGGGCGGTAGGGCCCCATCGGGGAAGGCCCCAGCCCGCTCTGCTGCTGCTGCTGCTGTTGCTCCTCATCGCCGATCAGAGTGTTGAGCACCTTGCTGGCGAAGCTGAACATGACACACACTCGCGAGGGGACCTCGACGGATTACATTTGGGATTGTGGCGGATTCGGAGGTTGGGACGTCGGAGGTCGGGGCGCGGGGTGGCGCGGGAAGAGGCTCGGCGAGGACTGAGCGCCGCTCGGAGGGCGAGGGCCGAGGGCTCGGCGAATCGATAGCGGCCCCGCGCCCGCGCCGCGCCATGTCACGCCCTCCACTACGCGCCCCGAGGCGCGCACCTTCGCCTCTGCGCCGACGCCCCAGCGCCAACCCGCAGAGCGCCCACCCAGAGCCCACTTCATTCATCCCCAAGAACCCCCGCTCCCGCCCTCCTCCGACGTCCCCGAGGAGTCCGGCCGCGCTCACACTCATGGCCCCGCCGCGCGCCACGCGTCCAGAGTGGTTTTTTTCTTTTTTAATTACTTTCTCGCTCCTCTTGCGGTCTGCGCGTAAAAGAAGAAATGGCATAAAAAAAAATAAATAAATAAATAAAAAAAAAGTCACTTTTATCATTTCTATGCGTTTTAAGATGCCTGGAGAGAAAAAAAAGAAGACAAAAAAGACAAAAAAGAAAAAGGGGAAAGAAAGGGGGGAAAAAAAGAAAGGGGGGAAAAAAAGAAAGGGGGGAAAAAAGAAAAAAAGGAAAGAAAAGAAAAAAAGAAAGAAAACAAAAAAAGACGAAAAAAAGAAGAAAAAGAGAAGAAAAAAGAAAAAAAGGGGAAAAAAGAAAAAAGAAAAAAAGAAAAAAGGAAAAAAGAAAAAAGGAAAAAAAGAAAAAAAGGAAAAAGTTGGAAGAAAGAAACAAAAGTAGTAGTAGTAGTAAAATAATTTTATTTTAAAGCGGTGCTTTAGCATCTAAAAAGGAAACAAGGAAAAAAGAAAGAAAGAAAAAAAGAAAAAAGAAGAAAAAAAAAGAAGAAAAAGAAAAAAAAGAGAAAAAGACATGCTTGGAAAATGTTAAAGATGGAAAGGAAATGGAATGTTGGAAAAGCTTACCTAAAAAACGGCATTTTTACTGTTTTTTCCAGGTAAGAATACCACTTTTATTGGTGATCGATTCCTGGTAACTTTGCCATTTTATCTGGGTAATTCTACCACAGTCGATAAAAAATATTGGCGTTTTTACCAAGGTCCAGTAAAATTACCGAGGAAGTTCAATAATTTTACCGAGATTTCTCGGTAAAATTACCAATTCCATAAATGATAATTTTACCAAGAAAAAACTGGGATCAAATAGAACCCTGAATTCTTGGTCATTTTACCCTTTGCTTAGTAAATACACAGAGAATTTTTTTTCAGTGCAGACGCTGCCAAATTTCCTTCGATAAAACCCGACTTTATTGAGAAAATTGTGAACCCTTGCTCCTAAACCTTTCATACCATTTTGTACGCAATTTAATCTAAAATATCTGTAAATTTAAAAGAAAAATGTGCATGAATGTTGTCAAAATTACATGTTTTCTCAAAGGAAATTTGGCAACTCTCGAATGTTCATATGGCGTTTTTCCTTAGCACGGCAGCATAAGAGGCCTGTGTGCTCCATCGCCCCATCTGTGGACCGCGCGCTGCCGTGTTGAGAAAAAACACCGCAAGAGCAAATAGACATTGCCAAATTTTTTTCAATAAAATATTTATTTTTGAGGGAATTAACAAGTATTTTTCTTTGAAGCTTCTAGTTTCTTTCGATTGAAAAAAATTCTTAGAAAAATAGGATGAAATACATTCCTATTTTTAAGAAAATCCTGTTGTATCTGAGTAAATTTAGCGACGTCTGAGGGCTAATACGGCGTTTTTAGCACGGTAGCATGAGTGGACGGTACACACTCCGGCAGGCGCAGTATAGGCAAATTGTATACATCGGACGTCATGAGTAACGGAGTAGCGATTGAAGTATATCTACGATGCGCGATGTTGAAACACTGGCTAGAGACCGTTTTGGGGAGAGGGCAAGGACCCTGGCAGAGGGATGCCGCCTATCTGCATCCTCTTTTAGGGTCACTTTAAATCAATTTTGATTGGATTTAGATGGATGTTTTGACGCGTCAACGGTTACTGACCCCCCCCCCCTCCATAAATCTACTTAGCCCCGCCCTAGAACTGTGAGAGATTTGACATTAGTAAACACGTGACACATATTTCATACTAAAATTTGTAATTCGATCAATTTTTCGGCGAACAGCTTACAATGGACCACTAGACAAGGTACGAATTTAAGCATTATGATATATGTTTCTTAACCAGAATTTTACGTAGAGCACGATTCGCGCAATGAAAACTAGTGAAACAAACTCCAAACGAAGATATTAACGTTTTTATTTCACATTGGTTACGAGGAATTTGAACTGCCCGCTGACAAGAAACTCAAAGGTCTACGTGAGTCAAATCGCGCACTATAATGGTTTCAACGAGTCTCAATCGAGTAATTATTTCATTTCCCGCACCATGCGTTGTTCAAACTAATAGCAATTTGCTACAGCTGAGCCAAAGCGTCAAGATTGAGGTTGCCAGATTTTTATATCGCAAAGACTGTCATGATAACGTTTAGCGCACGATGTGAATCACGCAGAGCATTGAGTTTTCATGAGCGGGTAGTTTGAATTCACGCATCAAGAATCATTAAATACCTTTGGAAGGAGTTGATCTCAGTAATTTTCGCTGTGCGCGTCGTATTTTACGTGAAATTTTGGTAAAGAAACATGTATCAGAATGCAGAAATTCGTACCTTGTCTAGTGGTCCATTCCTCTCCAGGCGACTTCTAATTTTTCGAAATTTTCCCGATCCTGGACCCCCCTTTGAAGCTGGGAAAATCCCCCGAACTCTCCTTCGAAACGGGTCACTAGACAAGGTGCGAATTTCTGATTCAAGGTTCGAATCTGAACTATTTTTTCTCGCTACGCTTAATTACCCTTCACAATAGCAATTTAAAGCTAGCAAAATGAGTAAAATTTTCAGCGTCTTAAAATCTTGACGGAACCATCAGTTATATTTGATTATTTCATGTTAAAAACAAATTTGTAAAGACTGAAGGAGTCTAGAAATAAGTATGTAGATTTGCTTAGTAGAGAATTTGCAAGTGTCCGAAATTCGACGAATTTCGTGTCTAAAAGGAAACAACTGAGTAAACTGAACACGAAAATACCCTTGGTTCCTAAATTGAACACTTATTCGAGGAGATATGAACAAATTAGCTAGTCTGCTAAAATTCATGCGTCTTAATGGGAAATGCCGCCTTATAACGTCACTAGGCGGCGCTTATTCTCACTTTTAAATCAATTTTCATGCCATTTTCCATATTAAAAAAAAAAAAAAAAAATATGAAAAATACTTCAAAATCAGCTCTTTAATCAGTTTCAGATGAAGCAACAAAAAATTTGCGTGCGAATTCTCCATAGTTAATTTACAATTTAAAAAAAAAAGGGAAATCCTTGTCAAAATTTTACGTAGAAGACGAATCGCGCAAATGGAAATAGGTAACTGACACAAATTCCGAAGCGAGATGATGACGTATTCATTTATCATTGGTTCCGGAAAAATTGAATACCTCGATCACAAGAAAAACAAAGAGTCTACTTGAATGAAATCGCGCATTCTTTTGGGAACACATTATTGGGACTACAAGATTCCGCAGAGCGTAATCCAATATTTACAATAGCTTTATGAGAGCGGGTCAACTCTCAGTTTTTTCGGCACAGCCATTGTAGGTTCTTTTAAGATACGGCCTTTTTCGATCCCCTTCCTTGGCCGAGGAGCTTTATTTCGGATTATCCGCGAATTTTGACTATCCGCGAATTTTGACTATCCGCGAATTTTGACTATCCGCGAATTTTGACTATCCGCGAATTTTGACTATCCGCGGTGGCCCCAGTCAGTATGACCGTGGATAATCAAGACTCGACTGCACACCGTCATACTTGAATTCGCACCTTGTCTAATGGTTCACTGACGGAGTCCCATGGATCTCCCTCGGTGAGATCTTAGTCAGCGGCGTCGCGTGAACAATCGATTATCGATATTTCCCCATTTGAAGCTATAGTAAAGAATCGATTATTAAGGTGTCCGTTTCAAACACCCTGTTTATCGATTCTTTTCCATGGGTTCAAATGGTAGATCAATCGATATATCGCAGAGCACGCCACGCAACTGATCTTAGTGCCCTCCTACCCCGCCTCCACAACAAGTTCTTAGTTGCCCCCAGCGCGCAGCGAGCTGATCAATGGATTGATAAACAAATCAATAGACAAAGAAGACAAGTTGAAAATAAAGCGATCCTATTGGTGAGAGCAGATGGTTGCAATGGTCAAAAAAGGTAAAATAATCGACTAGCTTCGGTAACCTGTGACCTGCGTGACACATTGACCTGACCTCCAAACGCTGCGGCGCGGCGGGCGGGCAGAGAGCGCGAAACGCGCATTGGCGCCTACAAACCTAACAGGGATGCTTCACGCGTTGCGCAATGCGTGAAGTATCCTTGTTAGGTTTGTAGGCGCCAGTGCGTCGCCGCTCCGCTTTGTGTTAGGCTCTAATATTTAATGTGGCGCAGTCAGCGTTATTCAACTCATGATTTTGAAATGTTTGCACATCCATTATTATTCTCATTTTAATTGATGAAAAAAAAAAAATGTATTAAAGGAAAATATAATGTGTGTTTTGTAAATATTAAGGTGGTTTCGTATCGAACTTAATGATTTCCAAAGCACACGAATTTCTACACAATTTCTTATAGCTTTTTATAATCGATGACGAAAAAGCAACAGCCAGGCGATAAAGTGTAAAGCCCGGCGATAGAAACTATAGCCCGGCTGCATAATTTGTTATCGCTTCGTATAGCCCGGCCGTGTGATTTTCTCCGCATTCTACATGTGGAGGCCTAAAATACGGTAACCATTCCAGGGTGTCTGCTAAAACAGGCTGGCTAATAATCAGTAATTACTTTTTACTAAGTCCATTCCCAGTAACTTACTTTTCAGTGCTTACTTTTCCAGTACATACTTTTTCATACATTTTCAGTACATTCCCAAGAAATTCAGTACCTCCTCAACAGAAAAATTCAGTATTTTTTCAGTGCCTTCAATTGACGAAATTCAAAAAATTTGAAAAATTTGAATTCCTCGCTCAAA